CTTTTCAACAAAGAAGTCTCTGGAGACTCCATAATCAACCCACAATCTTTGATTGCAAACATCTTTAGTTGCCTTCCTAAAATAGTAATTCCTAAAACCTGCTTGCCAATGGAAATAAACTGAGCCCATAGTACCTTTCATCGGAGGAGGCTGACCAGTGTCACCTGCCATGAGTTGCTGTTCTGGCATCGCCTGCTTTAAATCAGCCACCATTGAGAGGGTGGGCTAATTTTGTCCCATCTCTGTGTCAGATGTGTTTCAGTTATCCAGTGCTTCATAATTATCTGATGAGGCTGACTTTTGTGTCTTTGCATCAGTCACTGTTTGAGGCATGCCTCATTCCAATCATCCCTCACTGGGAAATAGGTAATTCTGCTACCTTTCAGTATAGTGTGTGATTTGGTCATTCACTGCAGAGATACGGTAGAATTACCAACCCTTTGAGGAAGCTTTCTGGTGTATCTCTGAATGAGTCCCATCAGGAGGTACATCCAGACCAGTGACTAGGGCACATACACAGGTGTGGGCTCTTGTGTTGGCATTTAGCAAACTTTCCCCCCTCTAATTTAAAATTTCTAAATTCTCTAAATGTCTCTAATTTAAATGCAGAAAGCTGGCTATTAGAATTCTGGCAACCCCTGGTTTCAGACCTCCATCTTCTTTTCTCTTTTAAAAAATGGTTATTCACTAACATTGCTAGAGAAGACTTAATTACTAAAGTTTTATATGCCAAATTGTTTAATTGCAATCTGATTTATACACACACACACACACACTGTGATTTTGATCTGTATATATACATATTCTGTGATTTTTACACGATAATTAAACACAATTAGGCACCCTTATGCCAAAAAGAGAGGAGAATGTACAGTTTATGTGCCAATCTGCTATGTTTGCTGATTGGCTAACTTTATTTAGTGTGCTTTCTTAAAATAAAGTGCTGACAACGTTTCCCATATCAAAATTATAACCTGTTGTATAATGAGCAAACTGAGATGTGAAGTCGACTGTGCTCCCAGTTAAAGCTTTTTTTTTTAAGTCCTATATAAACTCACCATGTATTAAGGAACAGCAATTATGCCCCAGGCCTTGAAGCTCAATTGACTTCTGTTTGCAACAATAGCGAAGCGGGGAGGGAGAAAGCTGAGACAAATTGCTAGCAGGAACGGAGGGGCAGGGAGGAGGAGTGGACATCAGGCAAGTCTAAGCAAATCCATCTCAAAATGAAATACATTGGCCATTAAATAGGAACACAGATTTTTTTTTAAAGGGGCAGTTAACTAAAGAGAGGTTGTTTTTTCCCCCTTCAGCTGATTTAATCAGCTGACTTAAATCTCATTGTACCAGCTGATTAGTGGAACAAAGTTTGAGTCCAGTGGCACCTTTAAGAACAGCAAAGTTTTATTCAAGGTATAAGCTAACGTGTGCATGTACACTTCTGCAGATCTAAACAAATGCACGCACATGAAAGCTTATACTGCACTCGAAAGCTTAGACCTTGAATAAAACTTTGTCAGTCTTAAAGGTGCCACTGGACTTAAACTCTGTTCTGCTGCTTCTGAACAACATACCACCTGAATCCAGCTGATTAGCAGTGCGTCCTAAAGTTACTTGATGACCACTATGGACTCACCCTTGGAGACTCCACCCCAATGTGTAATCACACTGGTCTACCTCACAAGGAGGTTGTCAGGAATGCAGAGATAACACATGTTGACATTTGTTTCATACTTAGAAACATCGCGGTGTAGTGGTTAAAATGTCGGACTAGGATCGGGGAAACCCACTCTGCCATAGAAGCTTACTGGGTGACCTTGAGCCAGTCACACGCTCTCAGCCTAACTTACCTCACAGGGTTTTTGTGATGATAAAACAGAGGAGAGGAGAACAACATAAGCCCCATTGGGGAGAAAGGTGGGATATGAATAAAGTAAAAATTAAATTAAAAACAAACGCAACAGCAGTATAACATTCATTGTTTACAGTGAGGATGGCCAGTTTCTGCATTCTGTTGTTTGAACAACTGTCCCCGTGCCAGAAATGAATTTTGTTGCCCAAGCAGACCCCGCGCCAGGGCCGTCCCGCGCCAGCAGCGAGGGCTTCATAGGCACCAAATGCACGTGCTCAGACTTAGCCAGATGTATTTACTTATTGTTCTATTTAAACAATTTCATGCCACCTTTCCACCCAGGGTGGCAAACATAAAAAACATGAAAACATTTGAACAATTAAATATACATTAAAATTATAAAATAATTCAGTAACAGCATGAAAAGCCAGGAAGGAGGGCCAATGAATGCCAGTGCACGCGTGGATCCTGTGGAAATGCGGGTCTGTAACAAGATTCAGTTACAATTCAGTGCCTGGAGGGCGTTCATTCTGCCTACCCGTGTACCGATGGGATGACATTAGAGCCAGATAACATGAGATTGTTGTAGGGTTGCCAACCTCCAGGTGGAACCTGGAGATCTTCTGGTATTACAACTGATCTTCAGATGGCAGAGATCAGTTCCCCTGGAGAAACTTTGGAGGGTGGACTCTATGGCATTATACCCTGCTGAGGTTCCTCCCCTCCCCAAACCCCTCCTCCCTTAGCCTCGGCACCCCAAATCTTCAGGCACTTCCTAACCCAGAGGTGGCAACCCCAGATTCTTGATCTCCTTTTAACGAAAGACTGTTGTAAGCAATGCTCCCTCTAAGCTATGGAGTCTTGTGAGCAAAACCTCTTCTTGGTGAGCTACTGGCATTACAGTCGTTAGCCGGGGATTTGGCTACTGTGTAAATCAGTTTGCTCTGGAGCCATCCTTCCTGAGCGAAGGCAAAAAGTGTCTGAGCCGGAGGCTAAAAAATCGTGAGCTAGCCCACGCTGACTCAGCTTAGAGGGAACACTGGTTGTAAGGTGTTTTAATGAAGCACTATTTATTTATTGTTATATTTAATTGATGCTATATTTTTATTGTTTTATGGATTTTATGTATGTTTTATGAATTTTATGTATGGGCTGTAGCCCTCTGGAAGCCGCCCTGAGCCCGCTTGCGGGGAGGGCGGGGTAAAAATGCTTAAATAAATAAATAAATAATATAATGGATTGCATGCTCAGGCTGCACTGACTTTAAAAAAAAATAGGTTTTAGACTGCGGTTGGAGGAGAGAGCGAAGAAGAAGAAGGCAGGTCTGTTTGTTTAGGACAGAAAAGAAACTCAGCACAGCCTCTGTCTTCTCTACACCTCGAGGCTAGATCAGTCACCTCGAGGCTAGATCACTGCAACGCTCTCTACATGGGGCTGCCTTTGTCGCTAATCCGGAGGCTGCAACTGGTGCAGAATGCTGCAGCCAGGCTGTTAATTGGTCTCTCTAGAAGGGACCACATTCAACCTGTGTTGAAAGCGCTGCACTGGTTGCCTATAGCGTACCGGATTCGCTTCAAAGTGCTGGTTCTCACCTATAAAGCCCTATATGGTCTGGGTCCAGTCTACCTGAAGGACCGCCTTTCCCCGTATGTTCCCCCAAGAGCACTACGGTCTGGGGCCCAAAATTTACTAACGGTTCCGGGCCCCAGAGAGGTAAAACTGGTCGCGACAAGAGCCAGGGCCTTTTCGGTGGCGGCCCCTACCTGGTGGAACAAGCTCCCGGAAGAGATTCGGGCCCTGCGGGATTTGATGCAGTTCCGCAGGGCCTGTAAGACGGAGCTCTTCCACCAGGCCTTTGAGTAGGGGCTGCCGCCGCCCCCCCTCCATTATCTTGTCATCGTGGGGGGGGCCGAGGAGGCCCTAGGAAGGGAACATCTGAAGTCCTTAACATCTACATAAATATTGAGTGCCACCGAAGGACCACTGGGAATCGTTGGATGCGGTCCGTCATCTTTCTTTTCGGAACTGTGGAAACTGAAGATCAACGAGCACCTTAATTAATTGATTAATTGATTAATTAACTAACTAATTGGTTGGTTAATTGTATGGGGATTGTTTAAATTGTATAATATGTTCTTAGCTATGTTTTTATCTGCAAGATTGCTTGCCTTGTAAGCCGCCCTGAGCCCTACGGGGGAGGGTGGGATATAAATCTGATAAATAAATAAATAAATAAATACACTGTGTGTAGGCAATCCAAAATTCTGGGACCTCCGACAGCAGGGCAGGGACAGATCGCTGCGACAGAGCCATCATCTCACAGGTGTGCTAGACAGACACTGGTCTCATTTGGCATAAAGGAGTGCTAGATTATTCCTGCCCAGGCTTCCTGCTTACTAGCCCAGAGACAGGCTGACTAATATTGGTGTGCGCCACACAGTGTGATGCATTCCTTGTAATGTGGGAAATGCGCTGCAGGTACAGGGTCTTGCTCTTAAAAATACCAAGTAGAAGGAACGGCACAGGACTGCTTGTAGGTGCGCACACACACTAGGATTACCAGGCACTGAGGCCAGCCCTGGCTCTCTCAGGGGAGAAGAATATTACCATTCAGTACGCTAACACTTAGAAAGCATGCACACATTCCAATTTTATTGCACAGGCAAGCTGGGTCAACACAAATCTAAAATCCTCCCAGCAAAGTAATTCCTGCTAAAATTGTGCATGTGATACACTTTAGGTTGCAAAGCAGTATGCTTTTTTTTTTTTTGTAGAGGTAAAACTTCTGGCACTGATTGGCTGAACTACCCTGATGTCACAGAGGGTAGAGGGAGAGCATAAAGTCCTTGGCTGCCATTGGATGAGCTGCTCCCATGCTACACAAGGAAGGGGCAGGAAGCCAAGGGGGAAGATGGAGAGTAAACAGAAAGGGAAGGTGGGAAAATCTAGTTTTGAAGGGAAAGTACCAGCCAATAATAAAAGCTTTTAGTCTTCATTTAACAGCAATTTGGTTATTCCTCTTTACTGTTGGCACGGCAGACCGGAAAGTTCACTCTAGCCTGCTACCACTGTGAGTTTTGCTGTATTTCTTCAAAACAGGCTTATGTATCTTTCTAATTTTATTTATTTAAAATTCTTTTGTCCAAAGACTATTGAGAATATCAAAGTGTACCTGCACGAGAAAGAACTATGGAAGAAGTTTCACGAAGCCGGTACAGAGATGATCATCACGAAAGCCGGAAGGTGGGTCTGAAAATCCTTTTTGTTCCCAGTCCTTTCTTAAGGGTCTTAACGCCTGTAGCTTCAAGCTTTTATGAGACTGTATGTACATGCAGAGCAGGGCCGGATTTAGACTTGTTGAGGCCCTAAGCTATACAAAACTCAGAGGCCCCCTACTGTTTTTAATTACATCAGCTGGTCTCAGAAAAATTTAAAATATATACGCCTTTTTAATATTTGAAATCATTTTTTATATTGTGTTTTTATTTGAGGCCCCAGCAGATTGCGAGGCCCTAAGCGGTAGCTTATTTATCTTATGCGTAAATCCGGCACTGATGCAGAGACTAGAGGATGAAACGAAGATATCTTACCTCAGCATGGTGTAATTGCTGCATCAACCCTTAGAAATGTTTCCCTGGTATATGAGCTCCTAGAACACTTGGGTTCCAGCTTTACGCCATGGTCATTGTAGGAGAGAGAAAAAATCTTTACCTCCTCTTTAAATAAGTAGTGACTGATTCTTGTGTACTTTTAAATATGGGCCCCTGGTAAGGTAACTGACTTCTGATTTTAAAAATGCTGTTCCAGGCCCGTAGCCAGGATTTTTCAAGTCAGGGGGCATTTAAGTTTCTTAGGGGGCACTGGCGAATCGAATTAAAGGAATACCCGGCTCTTTCCCTGCACCTGCCGCTGCTCGGGGGCCCTGGGCTCGTGGGGACTTGCCCGTAAGTCCGGGGGCCTAGCCCTGAGATGCCCCACTGCAGCTACGGGCCTGTGCTGTTCTAAAATTGTCCCCTTCTTGTTCTGGATAACGGACCTCTCATCTTGTAAATCTCAAGTTAGCTGATGTAAAGTGAAGTTGTGTGTGTGAGAGTGCTAAGTGTCGTCAAGTGGCTTCGACTTATGACTTACGGTGACCCTCTGAATGAATGGCCTTTGAAACATCCCATCATTAACAGCCTTGCTCAGGTCTTGCAGACTGAGGGCCTTTGGGACTTCCTTGACGGAGTCCATCCGTCCATCCCAGGTTGGGGCTTCCTCTTTTCCTGCCGCCTTCGACTTTCCCTCGCATTATTGTCTTTTCCGGTGACTCGCGTCTTCTCATCATGTGACCAAGGCATGAAAGCCTTCGTTTAGTCATTTTAGCTTCTAGGGAGAGGTCAGGCTAGATTTGATTGAGAACCCACTTATTTGTCTTTCTTTGGCTGTCCATAGTATCCGTAAAACTCTCCTCCAAAACCACGTTTCAAATGAATCAACTTTCTTCTTGTCAGCTTTCTTCATTATCCACCTTTCACACACATACATAGTAATAGCAATAGTCAGGGGTCATTTCATAGAAAAAGAGGTGCAGGAGCTCATTAGCATAACTCATTAGCATAACTTATTTGCATATGCCACACCCCCTGACATCATCAGAAGTGTGTCAGAAGGCAACACCCACCGCTCAGGCTCCACTGGACTGTTTTGGATTGCTAGCTATTGGTGGTGGGGGGGGACGTGCAGCTCTAACCTCGCAGAGGAGGGAGAGCTTGTACCAGAATAAAACTTGGACTTAAAGGTGCCACTGGGGTGTTTTGGACTGGGGGGCCGGAGGGAGCTCTGCAACTTACCTGGCTGCTTCTTGCTTTGACTGAGGGCTGCTAGGAGCAGGGGGTGGGGCTTGTTGCATGTGCCCGCCCCCTGGGCTCTTTTCTGTCGGAGCTCTGCTCCTGTGCGCTCCTGCAAGAAATGACCCCTGGCAATAGTAATGCAATAAGTATAGTAATAATATAATAATAGTAATATAGAAACAGTAATGCATAGTAATGGAGAATATTATGGTATGAATTATCTCGATCTGGGTCCACGGAACTCACTGCACGACTTCAGGTCACTGTTTCCCAACCCTTTTAGGGTTGTAGCTGAGAGGGTAAAATGGAGGAGGAAAGGTCTCCAGATGCTTCCTTGGCCAGGCAGTTTCCCAGATATGAGTGGGCAGAAGGACCACAAAGTGTCAGTTTTGGACAGCTAACGAGATGGTGCAGAACAGCTGTTGGGAGGGCAGCTATCTTCAGGTTGGGAAATTCTTGGAAATTTGGGGGTGGAGCCTGGGGAGGGCGGAGTTTGGAGTGTGGAGGGTGCACAGCAGGGATTGGATGCTGTAGAGTCCACCTTCTCAAACTGCCATTTTCTCCAGAGCCAGTTTGGTGTAGTGTTTAAGCGCACGGACTCTAATCTGGGAGAACTGGGTCTGATTCCCCACTCCTCCACATGCAGCTGCTGGTGTGACCTTGGGTCAGTCATAAATTATTTCAGAGCTGTTCTCTCAGGGAGAGTTTTGGAAAGAGCTCTCTCAGCCCCACCTACCTTACAGGGTGTCTGTTGTGGGGAGGGGAAGGGAAAGGAGGTTGTAAGCCGCTCTGAGACTCCGAGTGAAGGGTGGGGTATAAATCCAATCTCCTCCTCCTCCTCCTCCTCCTCCTCCTCTGGAGATTAATTGTAATTCTGGGAGAACTCCAGGCCCCACATGGAGGTTGGTTACCCTATGGGCTGGCCAGCCAACATCCCAGTTTGACCTGGAAATTTTTGTGGTCCTTCCAGGTCAAGGAACCTTGCACTGGCAAATGGAATGCTCCAGCCTTTGACCCCTGGGGTTTGACACCCATAGCAAACGGGATTTTGTAGTGATATTTTCCTTCCACCGACTGTCAAGCTAAAGGGCAGCAGGCTGTACTGGTGGAACCAGGATAGACTGTGGTGGGTTGCAAACAGACCTTGCCAGAATGTGGAGATGACTGGCTTTTCTGGCACTAGTTACTGGACAAAATGTGGCATTATCAGTCAGGCCAGAGAAATAACTGGCTGGTTGCTGTCAACTTAACCTTTCAGTTCACTGGGGAGTTGATGCTGTCCTTTGGCATCAGGAGGGCTTAGAAGTGTGCACACCTGGGGCCCCAATATATGTGGGTTCTTTTGGGCCTGGAGGAGGCAGCAGCTAGTTGTTTGTACATCCAAGTCTGTGTGAGAAATAGCAAAACAATGAGTGGGCCTTGAGCAGACACATGTTGCTAGTCCCTATGCTGTGCTGGTGGAAAGTGCCATCAAGTCCAGACTGAGTTATCGTGGCCCTTTAGGGTTTTCAAGGCAAGAGACGAACAGAGGTGTTTTGTCATTGCCTGCCTCTGTGTAACAACCCTGGACTTCTTTGGTAGTCGCCCATCCAAGTTTTAACAAAAGCCAATCCTACTTAGTTTCTGAGATCTGATGAGATCGGGCTAGCCTGGGCTATTGAGGTCAGGGCAATTTCGGGTACTTGTCTCTAATAAACCCATTGTCCTTATATTTGTCTTCTCTGTGTGTGTGTGTTTCCTGTTAAATTGCTTAGAATTAGTTGCTAGGATGGTCATTCTTAGAGGTTCAGCATCCTCTCCAGAGTTAGCTGTTTAAGGCAGCAGGATTCAGTGGCATAGTTTTTCAGGTGAGAGCATGCACATTAGCTCATACTGGTTGTAAGGTACCCTGAAGTTCACAGGGCTCCATTTTTCACAATACAGTGGTTGAGATATTTTTTGCACTGTTAATAATCTAGGGCCTGTGCAGACGCCATGTTCATGCAAACCGAGAGCTTGAAAACTGCACTAATGTGGAGTGTTGACATGTGTGATTGTTGTATTGTGTGAATATGTAGGTTTTCCATGAACATACTGCTTCCATACACACAAATGGAGGCATGCAGTGCACAGAAAACCCATGCATGGCCCAGTTCACATGATACGGTGATTGTGCATTTGGGATGTATTGGAGAGACTGTTTACTCCATAGGTGCAGGTGGTAGGCTCCCAGTTGTTATGAGCGTAAGGTCTACAGAGGGCGATGCCATGGAACAATTGGTTTTTTTCTCCAGCTGCTTGGCTTTTAAATTGGCAGAAGATGGGCAACTGCAGGATAAATTAGTGCAAACAGAGAAAGTTTCCTATTGATTCTTTGGGTAGTCATTGTTTTAAGATATGGCCCATCACATTTGCATCACTGTTTCTTGGGTTCTTTGATGGCAATTTTGCATACGTATTGTTGAGAGATGCATCTGGTTTTAGGGGGGGGGGATTCAGTCACAGGAAACAAGCTGGGACAAACTTTGAAAATCCTTGTGGGTCCATTTGTCTCGTTAAAAATGGGGCTATTCATTTTGAACCAGCAAGCTTGTGAAATGAGGGTCTCCTCCCTTGCTCAAACCTGCTCATCCTCCAAAACATCTGCAGGAGACAGGAGTTTGGAGGGTAGCCGTCTGAAAATTCCCAGCTGTGTTTCTTTGAAGGGCTTGTGACAGCCCCACACACAGTGAGTTAAGAAATTTTCTTTTCTTTTTTACTTCCTCTGAAATTCTTCCAAAGTTTTGTTTGAGGAGGAAGTCCAAAGTCCTCTTTAAATGTCTCGGTAGGTGAAACTTTTATGGTGACCCTTCTTGTTTGAGCTTGGTGAACTAGCGTCATCGACAAGTTCTTGGCTGATTTTAAATCAGGTTGCCAACTCTGGGTGGGAAAATACCAGGAGATTTGGGGGGACGAAGCCCGAGGAGAGCAGGGTTTGGGCAGGGGAGGGATTTCAGCAAGGTACAGTGTTGTAGAGCCCACCCCCAAAGCAGCCATTTTCTCCAGGGAACTGATCTTGGTTGGCTGGAGATCAACTGTAATAGCGGGGGATCTCCAGGGCCCACCTGGAGCTTGGCAATTCTGATTTTAATGCTCATGGTGTGATAGAAGAGAAGGTTTGTGACTGCAGGAATTACTTTTCCCAGTAGCCATTGGCCAAACAGCAGCTGCTAAGAAACCAAGTTACTTTCCCCCTCCTAGGTCTATTTGACGCAGCAGATGAAATCCAGCTCTATAAATTGCCTCGAATTTATTGTGAGCATTTACTTGCAAGGCTCTGGACTCCCTCTGAGGTCTGATCTGTGGGAGATGTTGGGGGGGGGGAAGCCACACAAACTCAACGTTGAAACAGGAATGGCGTCGTTGCCAAGAGTGCATGATTTATAAAGTGGA